GAGTTTGTTTTCACATCTTATAAAGTACCCCATCTTTCCTACAGTGGCTTGGAAACCTTCCCCACTGTCACAGCTAATTCTGCACGAAGTTCAGTGAAAGTCTCACCCAGACCTAGATGCCACCAAGGTGCCTTTGACACAGGCGAGAAGCATGTTTTTAGACATTTCCTTGTAAATTCTTCTTTTCCCAGAGTTGCTGGCAAGGTTTTTAGCAACAGCATGTCAGAGATGGGGTTTGAAATGCTTAAGGGATGCTGTGCTTCCCCTGGAGGTTAGCAGTAGCCAGCTTTTGGGGTTTTTTTAATTGTAGAGCTACACTGGTTTAACAAAGATTGCCTCCAGGACATTAATTCCCGTATTTACAACTCTTACCACAGAAAATGCACTTACCATGTTTATGAAAGTTATCTGAAGTAAATACAGCACCCTCAATATTTGATGTCTTTTTTTTTCCCCTATAATTTCAACACTTCTGCCCTTTTGCCTAAAGGTAACAGTTTGTAACTTTTGCTTATTATTTGTCATGACCAGTTTTCAGTTCCACCCATTCTCAACTGGTCAGTTTGGTCCATATTGCTCATTTTATGAATTTCCTTTGAACGATCTTTTCAAAGAATTTTTTTATACATTTTGAAATGCATGAAGCTAGAATTGATTCACATGACATTGCTAATAATAACGCTGCAAGCAGTAAAGAATCAGTACTAATCATAATCAAGTGTTTGGACAGACATGTATATTTCTCAACTTTTTAAAAAGAACTTTTTTATGTTGATGCCTCTTTATAAGGTACTAAAAGTCAGACTTCTTATTCCCACTCTAGCTCAGAAAATCTGAGGAAATATTTTTTTCCTTTCTTCTTGTACAAAAACTGTCAAACAATAGAAAACGTCATAGTACGTTTTATGCACTAGCATGGCATTTTCTGTAACCTGATGTTGGAAATATTAATATTAATTGGCTGTGCCTCAGGTGTGTAATATATTTATAAATATGCATTTATTAATATATTTGGGTTTAAAATGTTATCGTGTTCTACTTCAATACCATATTTCTATACACTTGGTATGGCATGATATAGTTATACAACAAAATACATATGTATTTTTGTCTTTTGTTCTAGGTTATGTGCTGTAATTTTCAAAGGGTTGACATAATTTACCTTCTTTGTATGAGAAGCGTGTTCCATTCTTTTAAAAACCTGTGTATTTTTACATCACAGTATACGTTAAAGGAGCAGTGATTGAAATAATTGTTGTCAAGGAAGAATGTATTAAAATTATTAATAAGACTTAAAACCACATGAGACTTACTGAATCATCTGATCTGACCTAAATTTATGACCCTTCCTCGCAGTTCTTCCCTTCACATACTTGCACAAAGATAGGACGATCAAAAGGAGAAAAAAAAGCCAACATAATAAAGGCCAGTGAAAACTGGACATTTGCATTAGGTCAATGTAACATTTTGTGATTATAATAATATAAACAAATAAACTATAAGGGCATTCACATCAGACCTCATTTCAAGCTGAACTATTATAAAGTGATTAACAGCCTCACACTCCCGCTTTAATTAAGTTATGTTGTGAAATATTCAGCATTTGAACCTGTTCTGGCCTGCCTCTTTTATCATTGAATTACCATCCTTAATGTGTTTTTCTGCTGAAAGATGAATTTCATTTAAGGATTACTGTACACTGCTGTGGCATTTTGTGGTTTCTTGTCAGCCCTTGTGAATCTAGATCATTGCTAATTTCAGTTTCTATGACATGTCCTATATGCACAGTCTCTTGACTAGCCTGTCTCTGTGGATTTATTAACTCATATTGTATTCCTGTAGAAATGAATGGACATTTTTGATTAACTTAATGATAGAAATTTCAGATGACAGTAGAGTTTACTTCTAGAGCTTACTTCAGGTTATGTAGGCCACAGCAGCTCTCTAGTGACCTATCACTTCACAGAAATTTGTTTTGAAAGTTTCAAGGCAGTGGACATCTGTCTGCCAAATACTTTCAGATGGTTTTAGCAAGGAGGGAATTGAAGGGTCCTTCTGAGCTGGGGTCTCTAAATCCACAGCCACACCCAGTGCTGCTTTTTCCTTTCCTGAGGTTGGTTTTCAACTGTTGTATCCAACCACATATTTCAGAGGCTGCCTTCAGGCAAACTCACACTACTAGATGATTTTGAGGAAGGGTCAATGGGTGATGTTCCAGCTAAGCATCCTGTTTCCTTCCTTTCTAGTTGTGCCTACCCTGGACCAAAGCTACACAACTCGGCACCGCATGATCAGTTTTGGTGGTGTTTTTTCCCTCTCCGTTGTCTGATGATCAATCTGTGCTTTTGGGGAGGGGAAGACATGCTGAACAATATCATCGTGTTCTCTTGGCTCGTCACATAAAAGTCCTCAGAGGGAGTTCACTAGATCTTGAAAAGTGACAACAGATCGAGGGGTCTGTGTACTCCCACTATCCATATCGTCCCATATGGATATAGTGCCCTAGGAATGGCACCTGGGGCCAGGAACTTCCAAAGGAGGTCTTTGCCCTGGCAAGGTGAAGGTTTGCTCAAGCACAAAGATTTGAGAAACATGGCTTTGGCTCCCTGCACAGTAATTTTATGCCGTAAATTACACTCAACTCCGACACTGATTGAAAATATAGGTAGTAATTTATTTGTGGGAAGGTGGTCTAAGGTCCATACTCTCCTCTGTGCTGGACAAACATAGCATGCATATCTTTGCCCCCAGAGCTCACAGCTCAAATGGGCAAAAAGATGCTAAGATGCAGTGTTCACAGGGAAGGATCCACAACTTGCAAAAAACATGGTAAAAAAGCCCCTTACTGGTTGGTAGGGACAAACACAAGAGAAGATCAAGCAGATTCAATGAAAGTGGGATAAGATAAAGGTCAGAGAAAAAGCAGGGGAAGGTGTGGGACAGAAGGTAAGAAAATACTTTGCAGAAAGGAAGCTAGCAGTACAGGTGAAAATGCACCTGGCATAAAAGGAGGATCACGACAGAGATCATTCTGTTTGTGTTTGCTATAGACTGAGTTTCTGAGCTGAGTGTCCCAGCCACTTCTCCTTCCTGAAGTCACAGATCAGGGAAGAGACACAAGGCTTGGTGGTCTTGACTTGGACAGGTCAGAGCTCTTGGTTGTGAGACATGGGGATGAGAAAGGGGGGTAACCATGGCAGGGTCTCTATTCCCATTTCACAAGCTCTGGTGTGACAGTTCCTGCAGCTGCTTGTCCATGCTGTAGCCAACACTGTCCCAATGGAAGCTGCTTTCCTACTTTCATGAGAGCATTGGCCACCTTAGTACTTATGGAGCGCTAAGTATGGCAGGCATGTGAAACATGCTTATCTGCTAGACAGAAGAAAATGCAAGGCTTGTCCTGTCCATACAGCTGCTGTGTGTTGCTAAGGAGTTGTCCTGAATGGAAGCCTTTTATCCTCAGAGATATTGGTGTGGGAAATTCAGACTGTGCTTATTTTACCTTAAATTTCAGATGGCCTTTCCTCATTTTAAAACCTAAAAATTTGATTAGGACTGGTGCAAATGGAAGCTGGTGCTAAAATGAAGTATCCTATTGTTCTGTCATTCCTGGAAAAGAATTGGAGATGATTTCCTGTACGTGATCTTGGTTTCTTAATTCACCTAAAACAAATCCTCTCCTAAGGCAGTTGCTCAGAATAGCAGCATGCACGTCAGGATTGTGGCATTGACACACTGTGCTAGTTACAGGATTCCTCGTAATGCGTAAGAACAGCTAAGGAAACATGAACTGGAACACAAGCAAACTGAGCTAAATCTAACTTTTCCCAAGTGAGGGGAAAAATTTTTGTCTGGAGATTTTTGAGATCCCTTATAAGAATCTGAGCTCTTCATTTCAGCCAAAAGTAAAAGCAAAACTATGCAAAAGAAGGTTTTGATATACCTATCTTAAATTAGAGCTTTTCTTTAGCCAACTTCAGAGTGGAATTCCAATGATTTCAGGCAGTGTAATACCTTTTCTTGAAAGAAAAGGCATATACTAAACCAGCAAAAGGGTATTTCCTCTACATTAACTAGTGCTTGGGAAGAGCATGCCAGTGGATTGTAAGCAAGTACTAATAGCACCAATCCCTTCCTTCTATTAACAGGATCAGCATCTCATGGGAGAAAGTGAGTGACAAAAAGGTCTTGCAAAAGTGGAGGGTTAAAAAGCTTGCACTTCAGGGGGAGTATAAAAATAATGCTTCTCATCCTCGGTTTCATTTAAGGATAAAGGGTGCTTAAGCTGTGTGCTGTTTTCCGTCTGTAGTATTGAATTCTGTTCAACTTGTGTAAAGAATTAACACAAAAAAGGCTAAATGGAAATTCTGACTGATGCAGAGGTACAAAACCTACCAAAGCAAATATGTTTAGAGCAAACTAGGAAACTAGGTAACTGTGTCAATAAACTAGCTTTACACAACGCATTAAAATACAACTTATTTACTCTGCCTCATCTACAATTCTGTTAGCAGCACAAGGTTATTTTAATACTATACAGAGATCAGAGACTAAAAAGTGCTTGTGGGTACAGGCACAAAGGCTTCTCAAAGAGAGAGAAATACAAATACTCGTTCATGAAATTCTTGGGAAGCTTTCTTTTTTTAATCAGCATTGCCATTTTATTGTTTAACCTACCCCGCTTGATCTCCCTACTTTTGGTTAATACGGGAGTCAATTACAGCTTCATCTGTGCAGAATTAACTTTATAGAATATACACTAGGGATTTGTCTATCTCCTCTATTTAGATCTATGTCATAAAAAAATATGTAGTAGAGAACTGTGTGCAAGCACTGCATATGGTACAGGCTTTGCAGATTTATTGTAAAATCATTTTAAATCGGTTAAGCTCTTGCCAGAAGTTAATTAAATATGTTCCTTTGGTGGGGGGTGGGGGACTCTCTCTCTCTGTGTGTGTGTGTGTGTGTCTGGGGGCGGGGGGGACCCTCTGTCTCACTAGGTGGCAGTGTCTGATTACATCTGGAAGGACCACGCCAGCCAGCCTGGTGTCTCCAGCTGTGACCTCCAGCACCAGGATGAAATCCCTGACTCTGCAGCCAGCTTGAAAGGTAGCACCACTGTTCAAGTCTCTGTGTATACCGTTCACCTCAGCGGCCTCCGGGAGCTCTACAGGCACTTCCTCCGGCTACCTGATGGGGCTATCATTGAGGTAGGTCCAAGCAGGCTCCTCACTGAGATTTTGAAGGCAAAGAGGAGCACTTCAGAATTAGGTCAGCATCAAAACAGGAAAACAGGCCTGCCTGACCCTGCCCAAAATACACACTGAAATCTTCCATAGGAAGACCTTGCTCTGAAACAGTAAAGTCAATGAGTTAATGCTTTTGTGGTGCAAAGTAGCAATTTAGGATTGTTTATAGAGCCATTTAAAGGCAATTATGTAAGATATACATTGAAACTACACACATAGAGATTATTTATAAATATGTTTTGCTTAGAACCACATAAAGTCATTCTGTACCGGAATTATTATATATATAAATATACAAAGTAAGTACTGTGCACATTTATTATACAGCTAGTATGGTCATTCACTTAGTTCGTCCTCAGATACACAGAGCTAAGGCACAGACAGATTACTTACTGGCATCTTGCATGTTTTAGATTCAATCCTGGATATTGTCAGATTTTTAGCAGCTTGTGCACTAAAAGACAATATAGGATGGTACTAAAGAGAAGTATCACCCATTACTTGTTTCATAGGCTGCATTTTGTTCCTTGTTTTTTCATTTTTATTCTAAGTGCTTTGAAGATTTGCATTTCCTTTTTGCCTTTGGTCTTCTGTTGAGAGACTATTAAAAAAAGATTGGCATTTAAGAGAAAGTAAAGTCAAAGAATATCACTTTACCTACCCAGATAAGAACTGGGAGCATCATAATGGAGATCTCTTTACCAACACTGGCAGAAATTATAAAGTACAATGTTTTCAACGGCTCATTTCTAAGATCGAGGTTCAAGTACCTTTTTCCAGCATAAGACAAACATTGCTTCTGCTCCTTTGTTTCAATTTTTCAAGGCTCTTCTCTTTATTAAAGGTTTTATTCTTAATGTCTTTGCCCTACTTGGCTTTTTAAAGAAAATTTAATTTAAAGGAAACTGTCCTCAAGGAATCCAAACATAATTTTCTGCCCAGGGAACTTGTGATTCACCAGAGTGAAGACACCAGAGTCTTCGAACTGGCCAAAGAAAACAAGAGAAGGCACGTGGCCTACCTGAAGTAGAACTTAATTACTGGAACAAAGAAACCAGCAAATCCAAGTCCATGCCTAAGTCTGTTGAAGAAGCTCCGCATATAAATAATTGCCTAGACTTTTGCTTAAACACTTTTCCCTGGTTGAAGTCAACAATGCAGCCCAATTCCTACTTTGTGCCTGTTACAAATGTAGCTCTTTGTGGAATGTTTTTTCCCAATTAAGTTCTTCTCAGCTTTTTAGCTGAGAGGTTTCATTCAACTTCACAAGGCTGTGGAAGGAGGCTCTGTGAACACCCAAGGCAATCTTATCCCAGTGCACTGGTTCAGTTCATTAATCCCTTCTATATTTCTGAGAGAGGAGAAATGCACTCCCATAAAATGTAGTTTTGTTTTCCCAGGTGAGTTTTCGACAAGCTTCCAGCATCGACAAAGTGAGCACTGCACAGTAAGGATGCTCAAGCCACTTTACAGTTTCCCGCACCAGATCACAACATAATCTATCCCTAAAATCCACATGACTGAGTCTTATGTCATCATCCTGAAAGCTGCATGTCTAACTTAGAGGATCAATGCATGCTTTACAGCATTTTTACTTGTAGAACTAAACACAATTACATGTAAGAAATGTGCTTAACTAATAATTGCGGTAAAACCTATATACAGATCTTACATTTAGCTAATAACAGATGTAATTATACATTTGTGTATTTTATAGGTCAGAGCTTTCTACTTCAGTTCCAAATTAAGACTATTTAACAAACTTTAAAACTATCCACTGACTAGTGAGAAGTTTGCTGCCATGGGGTAAAATATACCTGAGCTTTACCACTTGCTGCTGTTGTCATCCCTCAGGAACAAGTTTTTTTGCCTCTGCTGAAGCCAGACAAGCAGTGGTATTTGAGTGGGGTTAGAAAATTTTTTAGAGCTGAAGGGTTGCATTGCACCCTTATGTATAGCTTTTAAGGTGTAGGAGATGAAAGGCTACCTGGGCTTCTTGGGATAATCTTTTCAGTCTCCTGCCTCTGTTCACAATTTGTTGTGTATAAATATTGAGTTTGAATATTTAGAGCTAGTTCTAAAGACTCAAGTAGTTTAGTTAACCTAACTCTAGTCTAGTTTAGGTATTTTGTTCCCAGTGATTCAATGGAAAGATTTTTCTGGATACTTACAGTCTATTTGGTCAGAACTTTCCTCTTATTCTAAATTTAATCATTGTCAGCTTCCATGTAATTATTTGGATCACTCTTTGGTGTAAATAAGACTTCTCTTTTCTAGAAGTTTGCCTACATAATATAATTTCATAATCTTGTCTGTTTTCTGCCAGAATGATTACAACACCTCACCAGAAGAAACGAGGGTTTTTTTGTTCCTCTCCTCACCATTCCAGCAGTGGTGAAGGAGGAAGGGCTCTTTTTCCACATTTGTGAAGGCAGAGATTGTCAGCGATTCTCTATCTCTGTCATAGACAGTTGCCTTTCCTCTTTCTTCAAGATCAGCAAGCGTCTTTCTCCTCACCAGAGACAAGATATTTGTACAAAGTGCTGTCTTGGGACCATAGGAACATGGAACATGGTCTGTAAGAACAGGAGAGGTCTACAGCAATAGTGACATGTCCTACCATTATATATACATCTACCTTGTCTGCAGAGTCCACAGAGCAAGAAAACAACTGACTTGCACTTATTCTTCCTCTCTTCTAGGTGGACTAGTGCCTGTAGAACACAAGGAGTAATTCAACAGCATCTAGGAACTGGGGGTTACATGCACCTTCTTCCTGCAAAACAATCATGCTTTTTGTTACAGTAACATACCAAGGGTGAAAATTTAATTATTTCAGTGTAGCCTTTTATTTGTTTGTTCACTTTTATTAAGAAACTCTGAAGGCAAACTCTGAAGATAACAAAATGTAAAGACTGACTTTTAGTTTATGTGACTTTCAGGAATCATACCTGAAAGAGCCATAACACTTATTCCTAATTATTGCAGTGGAATCTCATAATTCAAGCATCTGGGGACTAAGATCTCCTCATCAGGTGTGTAATGCTTTGTGCCATTACAGCATGACGGTTGCTGATGTTGGTAGGTGTTCTTCAGAAATATGTATAATAGGAAGACATGAGCAATTTGGCAGAAAACAGCACAGATATTATGATAATTTTGAAAAAGCCTCTGCAAATGTAGACATTGTTCAGAGGGCACCACCAGCATAAGCAGTAGCTTCTTAGCATTCAGTTGACTGAGGTGCGGGTGTAGGCTCGCGAGATCTGAGGCAGTGTATCGCTTGCCAAACTCACTAGCATGGGAACAGTATTGAAATCACCAGGCCAAATTCTTTTTCAAATTTGTGTGTTCAGCTCTTGGTGACTTCAACCTCAGATATGTTTCTGTATCTGCAGATGTTGTTTGGCAGGCATAAGAGAAATTTTGCATAATCTTGCTGTAAAGTCCTTGGATGCTCATAAGGAATTCACTTTATATTTACAACCTCATCCTACTATTCTATATTTCAGTCAAAGCAAGATTTTCTTATAGCCCTAATTCAGCAAAGCAATTCAATGTGAACTTAATTTTACCCAAGAAGCCAAACCACTAAATTTACTAATAATTTCCTTTTTTTTTTTCCAATAAGTTAAGGCCAGTTTTTTAGTGCTGTGTGTTGAAGTACTAGCTGGAAAAAAATGTCTCTATATGCAATAACCTCTTTAAAATGTTTAAAACTTTAAGTGTGATATAGTCATTAGAGCTCCAGCTTTCCTGGTATAAATAGAAATTTCATGCTTGGTATGAAAAGTAGTTTTATAGGTTTCATAAATATGAGGCAAAGCTAACTGTTTTAAAATGAGCATTAAGTACCAGGTGGCATGTATAAATTGCCCTAAAAATGTTAAATAGAAAGATTTTTTTTTTAAATGTGCAGCATAAAAATTATGGAGGTTAAACTTGTAGGTGCAGTCCTTTTATCATAAGCATTGTAAAACTTAAAGAATTCACATGCAGTAAAAACCATTTTCCTTTTTACCTATGATATATTTCTCCTTTATAGTAATTCAATTTAAGTCTTGGCTAACCAAGGAATGACCTTCTCAAAATAAATCATTTTTTTCATGCTTTTCTATATTCATTAATCTGATGTTATTTTAATATACAGGAAATTATTGAATTTTAGCATTTTAAATGTATTTTAAATCCATGCACAGAAAAGTTAATGATAGTGGTATGTATTTGCTGTCTACATGGTGATAACACCAACTTGGTGATTTTTATCTCAACTTTTGCTGACTGGAGTTGATTTCTTATTAAAAGGACAAAGATAAGTCTCTTTAACTCAATAAAAAATCAGTTTCTTATTATAGGCCTAGTAAACCTCAGCATTGTAGAGAAAGTTTTTGTATAGTATGATTTTATCTATCAAATAAGCCTTCACAAATGTCAAGGATTCATCCAATTTAAACTTACTGCATAAAAGAGATCTGTTTTCCCTAATTACTTGAAAAGCACCTCGTAGTAATAGGATAAGACAGCGTAGGTGACTAGCCAATTACTTAGTTTAAGCTATTTACATCAATCCATATGCTATAAATTATGTCTAAACCCTCTTGCACTTCTGGAAAAGTGAATAAAATCATATAAGTTTATTTTGAATACAAGATCAGATATGATATGCTGAGTGACACTTAAAAAGAATGAAACAGTAACCGTAGCTTATTTTCAGAAGCAATCTTGACACTAATGCTAAATTACAGCTTGGAAACATCTAGCATTTTTACCTTTATGAGAAAAGGCTTTTTACATATTTAACATAATTCTAGGGAAAATATACTGGAATTATGTATAAAGATATGTACACTGTAACCAAAGGGCATTTATATTCCCCAGTAGAATACTTACAACAATTTTATTGCCATTTGGTGTCATTTTCTAACAGATATAAAATACAGCCAGTAAACAAACTAGACTTTAGATTTAAGCTGACAGCTGTTCCTTCAGAAGCAATATTCAGATATTTAATCTTAAGAATACTGAATATTTTAGAATTGTTTGAGCAAACTATACTTTTAGCATGTGAAGAACTGCATGCTTTTATATACAGTTCTTGGATCTGATAATGACAGTAAAAAACAACCTTAGAATAATCTACACATTTGTCACTCCCATATATTCCCTGGGCAAGTCTACAAATTGCCTCATGTTTTATTCTTAATTCCACAAATTCGTTTTTTTGTACACAGTGTTGATATGAATATTGGTCCCTATTTTTTTCCCGTATGTGCCTAAGCCATGAAGTTGACTTCAATGCAGTTTATGCATGTGAGTGCAGCTTTTTCTGGCTCTAATTTCATTAAGGGAATAAATTGGCCAAGTTTACTGTAAAAGCCCCACATGTTGTTTTCATAAAGAGTCTCACTCTTCATAACTCTTCATGACTTAGTAGTCGCTACAGGTTTATGGAGAAAAGAAGGAGGATCACTTCAGCTCAGTAACTGAGGTTGGTACACTACCTAATGACTTCACCATCACACAGCTTCATCATCTCACCAGACACCACAGAGGGAACAGCACAGCTCTGGCCTTTCCATAAGCTGGGTCAGCCGTGTGAGTGGGTGAGGACTCCTTGGCTGAGGAGAGTCTGGGCAAAGGCAATTATTTGGTGTAAACTGACCCACTTTAGCTGGTTTCAGCAGCGTCATGACAGGCTATCCACAAACATAGCCAGTTTATGAGTTTGTTTCCTGGAGATCCCTGTAAAAGTAGAGATTAACAGCAAATGATTTATCCCTCACAAAAGTGATTCCACCCACATTAATGCATGCAGGTGTGTACATACTCCTGGGCTGAGTAGGCTTCACCACATGCTGTCTGCCTAATTCTGAGATTTAATCTTGTCCCATAGAAAATGAATAATACTTTGCAACTTCATTCAGTGGGAGAATGATCCCTCTCGACATGCACTGATGTTCAGTTGGGAATTATACATGGTAAAAGTCAGCTGAGAGATACTCCCATGGACATAGGCATTTGAAGAAGTACAGGCTGAAAACTTACAGCCCTTTTGTTGAGGGTCATGGCAGTATAGCTAGTTCCACTGCAAATAAGAAGTAAATCAGACTGTTTTTAGATATTTTTACCAGTATATATTTCTCCTTTAATGCTATAATTCAATTAAAGATAATCAGTTTAAGAAAGAAATTAGTTGTCCAGGCAGTGCTTTCCATCCTGCTGAAAAGATGAGAACAAGAAAAACAGTTTTCATGGAGAAATCTTGTGCTTGTATGCTTTTTTCTTAAATTGATTCAGCTCATCTCACACGTGACATGTGAACCCTGTCCTGAAATGGACCCAGTCCGTTGCTCTGTGCGCTTGTAGGGGCTAAGCCAATCCATCTGCTGCAGATGAAGTGGATGTTCACAATGTGTCTCAGCCAGGAAGTAGTTATGTCTTCATACCTTCTGTTTCAGGTTGTTTTCCCTGTCAAGTATAAGATTAGGTCCTTCCTTTTTTCCCAGTACATAGCGGTATAGTTTTAAATGGGAACAGTGTCTATGAATCTATTATCAACTGCAGTCAAGATTATGTTACTATATGCAACAGGGTGGAAATGTAGGAAGCAGACTTGCAGCATGTGGCCATTTCTCATCTCCCTCGTTTTCTACAAATCCCAGGTTCTATATATTCTACACCTCGGAAACTCAGAGGGTCATGTGCAAAAAGATTTATTTCCTTCAAGTTGCCATGTCCCACTTATCTGCTGTGGGGACTGTGCTGTGATAGGACTATAAAAGGGATGAGACAGGTCCACCACTGGCTTTTGGCTGCATTCACAGGCTTTCAGGTAGCCAAAAAATTACTGAAATACCAGAACTACAGCCTTATAGCCTTATTCTGTATATGAATACACAATTTTAAATCATACTGATTCTTTATTACTTGCAGAGAACATGGGATAAGGAGCAAAGATGACATACCTAACCAACAAATATATTATTTTCATGGATATTTTAATTTTTTTTCCATGGGGGCTGAAGAGTTAGAGCTGTCTCCTTCAGTTGTTCACAGATGGGATGGAAGCAAGTTCAAGCTTATCCACTGTCTGAGCCAATGCTCACAGGAAAAATCCTGTCATAGCACTGTAGTTGTGCTGTATAACAAACAACAGTGCTAGTAATTAAGAGGCACTTTAAAAGTGCTATTTTGTATTAAAAAAATCCCTTTCAGTTTCAAACTACTTTAAACACTAAGATTTACTGTATTTTCAGTGATTTTCAGAATGATTTTATGCTGCAAGGGCAGAACCACTGTTTGTTGTGGAAGGTTTTTTGTAGTTTTGAATTGTTATAATCTTTATTCATCTATCACATAGTTTTACCTGAATCAGCAGTAAAATCTCTGAAGTCAAAGGATAATTGCCAAAACAGCATTAATTTATTTTATCCCAATAAAAAAATAACCTTTTAAAAAGTACCTTGCAGCTACACAGATTGACAAAATGCATCAATTATATTTTTGCTCACTTTATAATTACACTACAGTAAGTGCACAGTGAACTTTACTACATGGTTGATTAACCATAAGGTTACTGCTATTAAGTCACTCTCAGAAACAACAACTTCGACTTTAATTTAAGAACATAACTCTGCACAACTTCTGATCAAGTCTAAAAATCTGACATATCTGTACAAGCTTCAGTTTAAAATACACAAGCAAATGGTAGCACCTTAATTGTAGCAAAGGATTCCTATTGCTTCAGTCAGGCATGCTGGTTATGTGAATTATCAGGTTTTAAAGAGCTCTTGATATGTCTTAACCAACACCAAAGGAAAAGCTTTTCCAGTGAACTCTAAATATCCCAGTCCTCTTTTTTGCATACAAACAAGTCTTGTGAGGCGCAGCTGAAGGAACTGGGATTGTTTAACCTGGAGAAAAGGACACTCAGAGGAGACCTTATCACTCTCTACAGCTACCTGAAAGGGGATTGTAGATGGATGAGGGTCAGTCTCTTCTCCCAGGCAACAAGCGACAGGATGAGAAAATGGCCTCAAGTTGCGCCAAGGGTGGTTTAGTTTAGATATTAGGACAAATTTCTTGACAACCTGAAAGGGTTATCAGGCACTGGAACAGGCTGCCCAGGGAAGTGGTTGAGTCACCATTCCTGGAGGCATTTAAAAGACATGTAGATGTGGCATTCAGGGACATGGTTTAGTAGTGGACTTGATGGAGTTAGGTTTACGGCTGTACTCAATGATCTTAAAGATCTTTTCCAAGCTAAACAATTCTAGGAAATTAAATGAATTTAGTGTTCCAAATTCTGGGGAATTAGGATTAGATCTCCTAATTAAGTATACCCTGGTGATACTTCCACATTTTTCTTCTCAGATTATTGCAACTGGAAAAATATTTCTCTTTCTGTTAGCTCACTGATGCTACAGGCCCCCGTTTTGTCTTCTATCTTCTTGAACTTCATGTAATACAAAAGCATTGCTATGAAGCTCTGCCATGACTCTGTTGTATCTTTATACCATAAGAGAAACAACTTTGGACAACCTAAAACTGGACTATCTCTTATTTTGAAAGACTAAAACAAAAAAAAAAGTAGTAGCTGTTCTGTGTAATTGGTATCTAGCTGAGAAGAAAGAATAGCATGGTACAAAGAAACTTGCCTAGGATGTAGGATGTACAAGACCACTCCAGCGTTTAGTCACGTTTTCATGTGAGGTGGGGAATATCCCCTGCATTGTCTGTATCCCTCTATTCCAGAGGTAACACCACTTCCTTGCTTCACAGTGTATCAAACCCAGAAGTACAATAATGATTGTAAGCTATGTCAACAGATAGATTTTAGGAATACGCAAAAAAATACAATAGAAATTAGAGGTTATTCTGGTACATATACCTGTGTTTAATTTATTACAGCTGTGCTAAACCAGTTTGAGAATAGCAAAATTCTTTAAAACATTATTGGAGTAACCTGCTTTTTTGTGCTAATATTTGAGTAACGGCAGCTAGAGAGAGCTGAGGCTCAGTTACTTTTCAGTATCTGAAATTTGATTTCTCCTCGCATTCATCTGAGCAAAATTTTTCTTATATGGGCATTCTAAAACATGAAAACAATCAGAGCCAGGGCACTCTTGTGCAAAATGCCACCCACATTACACAAGCTGAGGATCTGACATGTGATGAGGTAACTACTAATGAACTGAGCTGAATCTGAAGCGGAGTCATGGCTTTATAACCAGTTTCCAGTCCTATAACATCATGTCCTCATGGCCATAATTTTCTTCTTTGAGGGCCTATTCTTTATTCACTCAAATCTTCTCCATGTGTCAAGAACATCATAGGAAGAAACTATTAAAGCAACGGGCGTAAAAATCCCCATTCCACTGTTTTACTTAAGCATTTAGAGTGAGAAAAATTAGGCAAATTCACATTTCACATGTGTTTAAATTGTTAATCTCACTGCTCTATCTGTATTAGTGAATACATTTACAGTAAGTTTTACTTTATAATATTTTGGCAGAACTGTTAGAAAAATTGTTATAAGCCTAGGAGTGGAACTGAACCATGAAAGCTAAACTGTAAGATGCTGTTAAGCTGGGTTATTAGTATGACAGAATAAAATTTCACACACACAGAAGCTTCTAAGCTGTGATATTTTGAAAGCAAGAAGACAGGGGTGGGGAAGGGTAATCAAAGTCATCTATGTTCTCTCTGATATTCCACTGAATACTGACATAATAATATGTTGGTTTTGTCTGTTCTGTTTTTCAGGCGTTTGGTGATATTAGTGAAGAAAGTCTTTTGTGTAATGAAATGAACACAGCCCAGGAACCCATAAGTAAAATGGATAATGTGCTGTGTACATCTACACGCATCAAGCTGAGGGAGAAGAAAAAGAGTACAGCAAGGTGGGAAGGTATTATGATCAGTTTCTGTACCTAGCTGAAGAACACTACTGACACCTAAGCATAAAATGATGGGAGAGATAGAAGAAAACAAATCATTTGAAAATACGGTTTCTCTTGGGAAGACTAGGGTGCAATCAGTTAGAGCTGAAATTTCACAGCTGTGTTTTCCAGTGTGTCTTCATCCTTGGGTAGTTTCATTGACTGTGTCCTGTTAGTTTTCCAATGCCCTCTAAGGAGTGAAGTTCAGTTAAAAGCACCTTGTGTTACTTTTAAATCCACAGTAATGTTGTCTGCTAACAGAGAAACCTTGGAAAGTTCACTTGAGCACACAAGACAAATTCTTTTTAGGGAAAACTGATCAATTTATTTTATGGGTTCTTGCTCCAATATCTCTCTTGTTGGGGGAGGGAGGTCATACTCTGTCATTGGTATATTTATATAATGTCTATCTCTGCATCCTTTTTTCTAATCTTCAGGAAATCAAATTGTCTCTGACAAGAGCTAGTTCCTGCAGTCATGCATATTCCATGAAGTTGTTTCCATCCTGATCCACATACATGGTATGGTTACTGTCTGATAGGATTTATGTTTCTGACAACCACATCTCTGTGTGTAAAGTGTTGTCCCACAAATGCTCCATTTGTAGCCCTTCTGTGGCTTCGACAAGCTTTGCAGTGTGGTGAGCTCATGGGATCAGATCACAGATCATGCAAACATTATTATTTCATATGATTTTTTTTCCTTCCAAACTGTGGGGCACTCCCAAATTTCTCAGGTTTGCTTGTTCCTGCTTTTTCAAGTTTGCTTGTACCTGCTAGCTGTGGTGGGGAAAATGTTTCTTATTTGTCTTTCAAGTTTCATGACTAAAACATTGACAGCATTTTCAGTAATTATTCAAAGCACAACACGATTGTAATTACAAGACTGCAAAAATGCCCAGAAAAGGAACAATGATGGCTTCATCTTCCAGTTCTGTAACCAAGTCCCAACAGGCTGCAAAATTTACAAGATCCCAGAGACCATTTTTCTGAGGTCTTCAGGATGGCCATACCTGCTTCCCCGGGAGCTACAGAAGCTTAAAGCAACCTGGAGGTTATCCTCATGCTTTCTTAGTAGTATTAAAGTTTTGCTCATTGGTTTGAACCAGTTAGTGCCTATTCTATTTAGCTCCATACAAATGCATCAGAAATTAAGTCATGCCACAAAGGCAAGAACTATGAGAGACAACAGAAGGAGAAGATGGGAAGGGGAACACAGGCAAGAAAGGTGAAATCGTTTGTGCAAGGCCACCAAAATCAGAGGCATGTGTAGAAATATAGGGCTGACTGCCAGTGCCCTGACTCTTGGTCTTCCCCGTGGTAGGATCCTTTTTGTCCTGAAAATACAGTTGGAAAAGGGAAGAGTCTCACCTTACTGCTATTTTGAATCATTTCTGTAGAATGCTGTAATCTATTAATTTAGTAATCAGTGACATTTTTCTAGCACGTATGATTTTCTGGTGTCCCTTTGTTCACTCTGGTAAGGGAAAAATTTTTCAGATCCACTTACCTTTGCAAGATCTTACCCAATATATTGAGCATTGTTGATTAATTTTGTTACTTAAATCTATGATTCTCATCCACCTGAATAATCAGGAAATTACATTAGGTAGTAACCTGAACAATCAGGGAATTACGTTAGGTAGTAACGTGAATGTTTAAATGTCACTCCTGAGAACAGTTTTTCTTTGGGTTTGCAAGATAACAATCTGGTTTCCATTTTTTTTTTCTGGTTTATTTTTTTTTCTCCTGATTTATTTGTGTGCATGTGCATATGTGTGTGGTTATTTTATGAGTTACACCCAAACAGAAATGGTGTTTAAATCTTCTGAATATTTACAAGAACTGATGCTATTTGTGTGGCTTCTATTGCATCAGATATTACTTGGATGACTTCTCTCTGTCATAACAGGAATAAAATTGCCTTTTTAATGTTTGCTTTGCCTGTTGACCCTTTAAACTGCTGTACATAACTTTGAAAAAGAAACTAACTGAAAAGAAATCATTCAGTCTCAGAATTTTTCTGTGGATTTTTTCTACCTGAGCAGCGTTGCTCTTTTCACCAATTACGCCAGATTTTGGGGTAATACCAGTTATCCCACAACAATTAATGACACACACAATATGGTGGAGGCTGCTGGGATTGCCTGTGTTCATGACTGTCCTGTGCTGTGAGTTAAGATGGTGATCTGTAACCTATTCCAGTTTCTGGGCGACTGTAGCAAGAAGACAGCGTGCTGTGGGCTGCATCATACTATGTGCATCTTCTTGGCCTCGGTTTTGTCTTTCAGCATGACTGACTATAACGGTAAAAATCCCTTTGGGCAATATTAATACCCCAGGTTTCCCACTACTGAGTTATGATATCCCAATCTGGTTCTGTGAGATTTTGTCTTCAGTGTTAGTAATACAGTGTTGGTAGTTAGTCTGATGGCAGGACTGACTTTATGTGTGGAACCACCACACCTTCAGTTCTAATAGGATTGTGCTGACTTTTTAGCAAATGTGGATCTGGTCCTGAGATCCGCATGAGGGACTTGATTGACCACTTTTATTCCCTCAGTTATATTGGAATACCTACACTGACTTTCATCTGATCTGGGATGTAAAATTCTGTAATTATGTATTTGTGAAAGATGAATTTAAAGTATGCTTAAATATTAAGTAGATCTACCCTACTTTTTTCCCAGAAAATGTTACATCCTTCCTATTAATTTTGATTACTTACATCCCACGAGTTCCCATGATTGTTGGTCAATATACAGTGGGTGGCATTGGCTTTGAAATTGTTTGCTGAAGTGCTCTTATCAGCAACACCATCCATAATGCTCAGTTATAGTTGGATAGTAATTGCCTGTCTATGCAGTGTTCCTTTACAACAGTTTTCTCCTGTGTAGCTATATATATGTAGTCATTACTGAAAAGTGTAAATAAAGAATCCTTTTAGTGGTGTAGTTTCCCTGGGTACCTACTGTGCTCTTATTATCTAAAACATACTCCCCATCTGTAGTTCTGTTCTATTAAAGGATAAAGACATAACTATGAATTAAAAATTAAAATGCTTGTTGCAGATTGGAGAGCAAGGTCTAATAGAATATATCTGGTGCTAGGCTCACAGTACAGTAGATAGATTACACTAAGCACCAGTTAAGCAAGAGGATGAAAAATGAGTGATTTTCATCATTCAGTTAAATATAGTGCTAAGTGGTATGTGCTAGCATTAAAAGCAAATTACTTAGCACTTCACCAATCACAGCATGAGAGCATTCCATTGGAAACAGTATTTCCAGTGATGCTCAGACCTCAGTTTTATTAAATAAATCAGCTGTTAATGCTTAAGGAAGCAGTAGAAGACATATTTTTATGGTAATATAAAGATTGAAAATGTAAAAATAAAGAGACACAGTACCTCATTTTAATTAAATGTGCTAAGAAAACCTCCCTCTCTCTTAACAACAAAACTCCAAGGTGCTGGCAAATCTGTAATTTCCTGTACTTTTTTTAGGTCTTCCTTTCTTCCTAATGAATATGACCTTTCTTTTTTTTTCTTCTTTATAATGACATCTTTTTTTCTCATAAATCCGCTGACATGTCACTGAACATTTTGATGAGCTTTTCTGATTCCCTCCTATATCTCCTTGATAGGATATTATTATCCAGTAATCTAAAGATAGGGAGCCTAATCCTTGGCACAGGTACTTTTTTGACTGCTCAGTTAAAGACAACGGAGATGTGAGAACTTACAGCATGAGAGGGTTTGACATTGCAGCCTACCTTTATATCCCATAGCAACATTATTTCCTCCACAGCAATGGTCATTGGGAGACAGTCAAATCTGGAAGATGTGAGTAGTTGTAAACCTTCCTGAATTTCAGACCATTCCTAAGCCACCGACTCCTCCTAAACAAGACTCATCTATTAGGAGCTACACAACAAAAGTCCTGGGAATGACACATGTGGAAGATGGTCCAAAGTCTGAGCCACAGCTGCATCTTCACCAGAATGATCAAATATTAGAAGAAGAGAAAATTAAAGTTCAGGTATAAAACTTACAAGACTGGGGAGCCTATGCATGAAGTTATCTTGAGTCCTTCATTTCACCCCAGTGCCGTTCTATGTGGAATCCTATTTTGAGTTTTCTTTTATGACTAGATTTGAAAGCTATTTTCTTTGTAAAGTCTATTGTGTTTGTCTGAGATAGAGTTAATTTTCCCATAGTGGCCCTCACAGTGCTGTCCTTTGTATTGGTAGCTAGAAGGGTGTTGATAACACACCATGGCTATTGCTATTACACACCATGGTTATTATGGATATTGCTGAGCCATGCTCACACACCATCAAGACAGTCTCTCCAACATTCTCCTGTTCACTAGTAGGCTGGGGACAGGCAAGAAGTTGGGAGGGGACACAGCCAAGACTGCTGAGCCAAACAGATCAAAGGGATATTCCAGACTGTATGATGTCTACTCAGCAATAAAAGCTAAGAGAAAGGATGAGAAGAGGATGGCATTCATTATTTATGACATTTGTCTTCTGGAGCAACCACTACATCTACTGAAACTCTGCTTCCCGAGAAGTGGCCAGACATCACCTGCTGATGGGAAGTAGAGAATAAAATCTTTTGTTTTTCTTTGCTTCCACTAAACTGTCTTTATCTTCACTCATGAGGGATTTCTTTTCACCTTATTTTCTCCTCTGCCATCCTGCTGAGGAGGGGAGTGATAGACAGGCTTGGTGGGCAACCGATGTCCAAGCAAGGTCAACTCACCACATAAAGAGAAACGTGTAAGAAGCGAGGGACAAACTGAAAAGATGAAAACCGAGAATCTCCTGTAGGCACATAATTGCAGGAGCTCATAAACGGAATAAAATACCATGTCTTCTTTGTAAAAATGATAATCAATATTTTTCTGTTGTGAGGGGAGGAAGAATAAGGGGCAATCAGCCTAAATATCTTGCAAATTTTTTTCTCATTTTTGTAACCTACCATACCTAAGGGATAAGCTAGATATAGTTGATCTATTTTTAGTACAAATGTTGGCTGGAGGTGTTTTCAGTTTTATTCTGGCCCTACATTTCTTGGATTCTGTGAAAATTATTGTCTGAAACAACTACTGTTTCCACTTGTGCTTAACACTTTAGTGAAATCAGTGTAGTCCTAACCCAGCAGAATTCTTTCTACTAATAGTCTAGGATAATGATGTTGGACCTAAAAGAAATATTTTGCAAAATCTTGACTTATTTCAAAAAGTTTCCTTGTGAAAAAAAATTGCCTTTTTTACAATGTATATTCAGAACCGAGACATTTAAGCAATGCTTCCTTCTCTTTGTGTAGCAGATTTTCATTCTCATTTCCCTGTCTTCTTCTACTTAAATATGCACTCCAAAGTTGGCTTTTTTTTTTTCTTCTTGTTTTACTATATCTTTATTCAAAGTACTTTCTTAAACCTTAAAACAACAGATATTATTTTTGGTACCAATATAACCTTTTCTTCTCAAAATACTTGAGGACGTGATACTTAACCTAGTTTTCAAAACAGAATTCCTTTTTTCATTTTCCTGGATGACACGTAATGGTTCTGATGCATCTTTTCTGTGTATGTCAATTCTGTCATATACACTAATATGAAATAATGACACAAGGTTGACTTAACTAGACATAATAGGGCATATTTCTAAAACATTCTGTGTGGGAGGTATATGCACAGATCTTGCTACTTGCTGATGAAATTGGGAGAGTTCTTCATCTGCACTACAGCATATATTTATAATAGCTTCCTATTCCAAAGGCGCAGAGTTCTTACATAATAAAATAATAAAAATAATTAAAAAAAAAGGACTCTGAACAACATTGTCTTGGATAAATTTTAGAACTTCACCATGTGCAGTGAATTTGGAGCAACAGACAACTATCATTGCATCCTGAACCAGTGCAGGAATGTGTATGTGCATGCTCATGTGTATAGAATGATAGCAGGACAGATTTCAGTGGAAAGCCTCTGTATTTCAAACCTTTCCAGAGTTTTATCTTCTGTTGATGTTGTTTAAGTCCTTATTTCCTGTCTTGGAATTCAAAATCACTATTCGAAGGCTTTTGTCTTTTTCCAGATATGTGTATTAGATATAAATGTATTAGAGAGGCTCTGAACTATCAGAGAACATGCATTACATTTTCATAATATCTTTCAAATTAAAGATGGAAAAGTCTAAATTTGTTGATGGTCTCATCACATGATTTTTTTTGTTTAACAATTGGTGGACAGGAATTGGTTATAGCCCTCCTATTCCTGGCTCCCCCTTGCCACATTCCCCCTAATTTTTAAGCATCGGCAAGTTTACCACTTTACATTGGTCTACTAACAACTCTTAAATGCTGTCTTTTCCTTATGAATCAGTGGCCTTATGCACATGTATCTAGTTTATCAGGAACTCAACATTTAACTTGTGTCTGAGGGTGTATGTATGTATGAGCTGAGGGCTTCTCTCTGCCCCTCTGACAGCCTGAGGGATTATAGAAGGAACGTCAAAAGAGCCGATACAGGCACAACTTGGACCAAAAAGAAAATAGTGAGTACAGACTATGAGCTGTTTCATTCAGGTTGCTAATTTTTAGCTTTCCTTTTCTACCCTTGCTATTGTTGCGGACACACACTCTCCTTTGAGCACAGCTGTGCCACCTGAAGAGATCCTCTACAGCTGCTTTTTCATGCAGGAGAAGTTCCCTTGGGAGCTCTCCCTCACCCAGTTCAGGATGAGTAGCAAATACCTTCTGTTCCAGCTGTTCAAACCTTACAGGGCCATGTTTATCCAAAACAGGTGCAAGAGCATTTGCATGAGCAACTCTACTAGCAGCTCCGAGTGCAGTCACCTCTGAGAGAAGGGTGGTGAGGACAGGTGGGAGCGAGGTTGTTATTTCTTCATCCAGCACAACTGCAGCTGAAGTGGATTTCTACTCTGTGTGTGTGTGTGTCTGTCCGGTTTAATGGTTTGTTTGGAAGTCATGTGTTTCTTAATTTGACTGTGAATGTTGTGACTGATAAAACAGGTCTTTGAGATT